ACAGCGGTCCCTATTGCTGCGGTCCCTATCTGCAGCGGTCCCTATCTATCTGCAGCCGTCCCCTCTGTCCGCAGCCGAGCGCCGGCTGGAAAGGATTTTCTCCTTGTGACAATCCCCCTTCTGTTTCGCACAGGCGTTTGCCGGTGCGTGTGCTCTTGTCCCAGGCTACCGGGGGGGCCAGCACACCTGAGAGCTGGGGGTCAGGCCGGCTATTTTCAGGCTGCAGGCTCGGAGGGGGAGCGTGAGCGGCGAGGTCAGCCCGGCACCCGCTCCCGCTGCCTGCCGAGGCACGCTGCCCTCGCTAACCTACTGCGCTCAGCTAGATTGTGCCATAAGGAAATGCACATGGCAGCCAGTGATGCGTGGAGGCCCCTTCATCCTGCGTTCGGTTCCTCGCAGAAAACGGGAATGATCCCTGGAGATTCCGTGGGATTTTGTACGCTCACGTGTGGGAATAGCTCCGTGCAAAATGAGAGCCCCGTTTCAAAGCTCCGTGGGTCTCATCTCTCTCAATTTCGCACAGCATCTTCCCTCCGGGACGGGTCACTTCCGGACATAACTCGAGGTTCTCGCTGCGTTGTCGCTAACCTTCCACCTGCCTCAGCCCGCTTTTCCCTACCTGCCCTTCAGAGGAGCCCAAAATCTCCCCCGACACCCACACCGCGTTATCCCCTCACCCCTGCTCCGGCTCCAAGATGTTCCTTGCACACCAAACTGTCTGCATCGCTTCCGGGGGAGGATTTCGCGGCTTTGAGCCGCATGGCAGCAGCTGGGGGCGGGGAAGGCAGGGCAGCCGCGACAGTCCCTCTGGCCGCCGCGCCTCGTCCGCCCCTCGGACCTTCCCCACGCCACCTCGGGAAATACGGCCACCGAACTACATACACGGCCGGGGAACCTGTCCTTTGGGAAGGATCGGGGGCCTTCTGCTTACAAATGCGTTACCATGTGGGCATCCTTCTGCCTTAATATGCCCTCAGTAGCCCTCTCCCCTCGAGGAAGGTGAGGAGGTTATCTTCCTTCCTCCCTTAAAAAAAGAAATCAATAAAAATCTGCAGCTTCAAAGACGGTGTGTGTGTGTGTGTGTGTGTATGTGTGTGTGTGTGTGTGTGTGTGCCGCGTTGGTTTTGTCTGGTTTCTTCCTCCAAGGGCAGAGCGGAGGCATCTGGGGAGCTGAGCGAGGCACAGCAAGGCCTCATGAAGGCTCTAAGAGGAAGGAGCAGGACACGCCGAGGTGAGCACAGCAAAGGAGCCTTGCCGGAGCGCTGGAAAACCTCAGCGCCGGGACTCTGCTCTCAGAGCGGGAGCTGGGCGCTGTCGGGAGGCCTGCCCGGCCCCGGAAAGCGCCGGAGAAGGCCTCCATGGGCGGGGGCAGCCAGGGACGGCGGCTGCCGCCTCGCCGGTACCGGCGGCACACCAGGGCTGCTGCAGCCGCACACGCGATTTGCAGCGGGCAGCTCCAGCCGAGGCTGTTTAGTGCAGGAGAGAGGGCGAGGGAGCGGAGTTTGAGGGAAGGGGAGGAAGGGGAGCGCCTCTGGCTCCCCTGTGCGAGCAGCAGCGTCGGGAGAAGGCGGACAAGGGCAGCGGCTCCCGAGAGACGCCAGGGCCGTACCCCGGCTCCCCGCGCTGTGCGTGGCGGCACCGCTCAGGAGCTCTCCCGGCACGGAGGGAAAGGAATGGCAGGGCAAGCCCGGCTCCTGTCTGGCTCCGGCTCGAGTCTCTCACAGCTTCCCCCCCGTTTCGCTTTGTGAGGCCGGGGTCCCTGCGGTGAGGGCGCGGGTGCGTGCCGGGGCAGCCGCCGGCTCCTCAGGGCGAGCCCCCTGCCCGGCACGCGTGCCCTTCCCCGGGTAGAACAGCCCCGACCCCGCGGCCCCCGCGCTCCCCTCCCGGCTGCCTTTCCCCTCCGATTCTACAGGGATTTCCTACCTGAAAAAAATAATCTTTTTGCCAGGCAGGTCAGAAGCGATCAACAGTCTGTTGTATATTATGTTTTCATATTCCTCTCGTCTCCCCCTGCCCTCTACCGACTCACTGTAGATCTGACCTTTGGTATTTCAGCCCACACTCAGCAGTTGAATGGAAACAAGTTGAGCACGTTCACTTCTGATAAACATTATCCTTAAACCACTAGAGACCCGAGCAGAGTAAACGAGCTTTTCCGACAGGACCACATCAGGAACACACATTGAGAACGGGAAAGAAACAAAACATCCAGGAGATCAGAGGCGGGCTCGAGGGTGGAGGGGTGGGAGAGGGAAGGAGGGGGAACAGACAGGTTGGAGGACACGGCGGAGGGGGAAGAGAAGGACCAACTGTGAACACAATAGACACAGATGGGGAGAGGAGCTGCCCGGGCAGCGTGGGAGAGCGGCGCAGGGTCACGCCCGAGCATCCCAGCAGCCCTGGGGGAGCTTTAGGGGCGCCGAGCGGGTCCAGGAGCGGCGGGGTCGGGCTTGCACCGCCCGGAGATGCTCCCCGGCCGCAGGGCCCGGGACCGCGCTGAAGCCACGGCAGTCCCGGTGTTCGGGGCGGCCGGGGCGGCGAGCAGCACAGGCCCCGTCGGGCTGGGGAACACGCTGTAGGGCGAGCAGCCTTGTCGGGGAGCCCGACGAGAAACTCGGCTTCCGCAAGAAATACCCTGTTAAAGCGGATCGGAAGTTTTACGGATTCCCACCTCCTTTCACTGTTTAATTACAGAAATAGCTTAATTAAGGCTGGATCCGCGTCCCACTAGTTCAATGCCTTCTGCCTTAAAAATAGCCAGAGGAGGTCAGTTCACAGAGAGGGGCTCTGGCTTCAGCAAACGCCTGCCAGTACCATTGCCTGCGCAAAATGCTTTCGGACAGTGGCATTTGCGCGGCTGTCAAGAGTGCTCCCCTTATCAGAGATAATTCTATCTAGGTTGAAGAAACACCACAATCTATAGGTGCGATATTCTGAATGGGCAACTCGTACTTTTGAAGCAACCACAAAACTCCCATAGAAAAGTTCCTGTTGTGGTGGTTTGGTTTTGCTAGGGTTTTTTTTGGTTTGGGTTTGGTTTTGTTGATGGTTTTTTGATAGTGTAATTTTTTGTTGTCGTTGTTTTGCTTTTTGTTTGTTTGTTTATTTTTTTAATTCCTGTGGAGAAAACAAGTATCCGCAGATATTTCGATCAAATGGAAGTACCTGCAAAAGAGCCATGATCACCTTCTTTTCACCACAAAACGTTTACAACATGCCGCTTATTTCTGGGAGATCTCTGCAACATCTTATTTCTTCACAGTTAGGAAAGTTCATTGCGATTTGTGCAGGATCTGAAATATCGCTCAATTTTTTTTCCTAAAAGTATCTTACATTTCAATTGTAATAATATCGAGACTATGTTTATGCACACCAGCGACATAAATTTTGTGGTTTACTTGGTGATATTTTGTGCACTAGGATCACCGCCTTATTTCTTTTCACGTTTTATTTAATTTACAGAGTCTGTAACTTTGAGACTCTATTGAAAAAAATAAAAGCAATAAACGACAAAGAAGAATCTCAGGAGATTAATAGATTAATGAAGAAAAACAAAACTCAAAAAAAACCAAAAAACAAAAACAAAAAAACCAAAACCAAAACCCCAAAAACCAGACCCAACACAAATCCTTAGCTGAAGCCCATGATCTCTGTGTGCAACACGATGTAAGGTAGGGCATAAGACGCACACACACAAGGTCAGCTCAGGATCCGTACACCGCCAAACCAAATATTTCTTCCACATACACGCCGTGACCCGCACATTCTTTAATTCCTACCAGCGTTGCCTGTTTTTCTTTGGATTGCTAATATGTATCAGTGCCTTTTATAAAGCTGAAGTCAGCTGCGAGGCATTGACATTTTACGGTTAAGCCTTGCGCAGTGATAGTGAGGGGATGAAAACAGAACCGGGGCCGGTCTGCGCTGGCAGCGAGGGCCAGCATCCCGGTGCCGGTGCGCGTGGCCGGAGAACGCAGCATCCCAGGGCCAGGCGCTGCAAGCCCCGTCCCGTCTCCTCCCAAGGCGAGGGAAATTGCAGCTCGTTTCCTGACCGGTTGGTGATTTTCACCAAAAATGACGCAACTCGCATCGCTCACGGTCTTCTCGTACACCGCCCGCGAAACATTCTTTAGCGAAAAGGTGCTTTATTACAACGAGGCGATCAGACCCACGAAGAGCTTCTCTCGCGGTCCGCAACCTCAACGCGGGCAAACCGTGTGTGTGCCAAGACACGGCTCTGCTTCACTCGGGGAAAAGGGGAGCCGCTCTGCCAGGCTCGAAGCCCCCTCCCCGGCTGCTGAGTCCGGGAAAGGGGCCAGGAAGGGCGGCGCTGGCCGGCGCTGCCCGCCGCCCGCGCCCCGGCCCCGCGGAGCTGCGTGCCTAGGCCCCGGCCGTGCCCTGGCCCCGCTCGGCGCGGCCCCGACGCCGGCGGCGCTCCCCGCGCAACTCACCGCCGCAGGTGCGGAGCCGCGGTCCCGGCGCGGCGGGCCCAGGCGCGGAGCGCAGCGGAAGGGCCGCAGCCGCCGCCGCCGCCGCCGCGCTGTCCGTCATCTCCCCCGGCCACTGGGAGGGCGGCTGGGCCGTGGGGCCGCCCCAGGGGCGGGTCGGGGGGGCGGCGGGCCGCGGGCCCGGCCCAGCCCGGCCCTGCCCACGCTGCCCTGAGGTTGAAATGCAGAAGTCAAGGCTCTCTTGTCGGGATGTAGATTTCCTTGTAGTTCTTTTCTTCCTCACGCTACCGTTCCCTCCTCAGCGGAGATCAGAGAGGCTCGGGGCCGGTGCGGCCAGGAGCGCAGGAGGCCCGGAGCCGGTTCCCGAGCATAGGGATCCGCTGGGATTTAGGGCCGGCCTCGAGGTGTCCCGCTCTGAGGAATGGGTAAGTGGCCGGGAGCCGCAGGAGGGTTCAAGTGCTGTCAAGAGAGGGGGAGCACCCGTGCGCACTCATCTGCCACCGCCGCGGCTCCCTTATTGACTTTGCTCGTGTTCCTACAAGTTGTACGAACATGTTGAGGGTCAGGAGCAGGGGAGAGAGAGAGAGAGAGCTAATGACTAGTCGGCTTGTTATTAGTGTTATTAGGCGAGCGCGAGGCAGGATCGCAGCCGAGCGGATGGCTGGAGCCCGTGACACGTTGTATATTATTCCTGACACCGATCGTAGCAGTTAACATTTTAACACGCTCGTTTTACAGCCCAGTGTAATCGTGCTGTTAAGCGAAAGGCGCTAACAGCACCAGGAAAGGTCTTTAAAAAGTTAGTCCCGACTCAGAAGCACCGCGCTGCCCTCGTCTCTCCCAAGATGTAAAAGAATTTCCTCAACTACTTTTCCTTCCTCCCCCTCCCCCACGTCTTAGACGATGTTTTTCTTTTCTTTTTGTTTTCTTCGCGTTCCTTTTTCCTGTGGCAATAAAGCTGACTTGTCTGTTGGGGCGATCTCATTTTTCATGCCTGGAATGTGCTTATTTTTGGGAATATGCTTGATGCACAGTCCGGAGAGCTCCGACATTTGTTGCCACGGATTATCTTTCTTTCTGTCTTTTCATTTTTCTTTCTTTCTTTCTCTCTCTCTCTCTTTTTTTTTTTTTTCATTTTTTTAACCTCTCACTTCTCTTTCTCCCTTCCCTTTGCTTCCTTCAGTCTCGGGGGCATCCCGCTATTCTAAAGAAGTGCGTGGAGTGAGCGGGGAGGGGGGGTCCCTGTCTGTGACATCTGTCTGTGATGAGGAGCAGCTCAGACGCCCCTTTCTGTGCCGTCCGCCGTGTCCGACGGCTGTGTTTGTGCATTTGCTTGCAGAACCTGCCTTCGGGGAAGTGAACCAGCTCGGGGGGGTGTTTGTCAACGGGAGACCCCTGCCCAATGCCATCAGGCTGCGGATTGTGGAACTGGCGCAACTGGGTATCAGGCCGTGCGACATCAGCCGGCAGCTCCGCGTTTCCCACGGCTGTGTCAGCAAAATCCTGGCTCGCTACAACGAGACCGGCTCCATCCTACCGGGGGCTATCGGCGGCAGCAAGCCTCGGGTCACCACCCCCACGGTGGTAAAACATATCCGGACCTACAAACAAAGGGATCCGGGCATCTTCGCCTGGGAGATCCGGGATCGCCTGCTGGCCGACGGCGTGTGTGACAAGTACAACGTGCCGTCGGTCAGCTCCATCAGCCGCATCCTCCGGAACAAAATCGGGAACCTGTCTCAGCAGAGTCACTACGAGACTTACAAGCAGCACCAGCCGCCCCCACAGCCTGCTCTGTCCTACAACCACATCTACCCCTACCCCAGCCCCATCGCTGCTGCAGGAGCCAAGGTGTCCACCCCTCCCGGGGTGCCGGCGATCCCCAGCACCATGGCCATGCCCAGGACGTGGCCGTCCTCTCACTCGGTGACGGACATCCTGGGGATCCGGTCCATCACAGACCAAGGTGAGAAATGGGGGGAGCCGGGGCCACACAGGCAGCCAAACATTGCCGGAGGGGTTCGGTCCCTGGGTTCTTTCCTCTCCGAGGGTCGGAAGGTGGTTTCGCTGTTTAATTCGGGAAACCCCTGGCGATTCCCCGGCACGGGCAGGGCGCTGAGCTCCCTGGAGCGCGTCTCGGAACGTGGGCAGACCGAAGGGCCTGGGTGGGCTGCAGGCGGACCTGCAAACAGGGCACATCGGCCGCCACCTCCGCCTCTGTGACCCGGGAGGTGGGGATGCTGCCCGGAGGGACCGGCCCGGGGTGCGGCGGCACCAGCGCGCACTCGGTACCGGTCCCGGTCCAGGTCCCGGTCCCGGTCCCGACCGAGGCTCGCTGCCGCACTCCGGTCACGGGCGCTGCCTTGGCGTTACTGAGAAGTCAATTTTCTGTAGTTTTCGCAATCAGCCCAAATTTGCTTCGGCAGGAAGTTCAAATGTCATCTAATTGCTTTCATTCTGATGGTGTATTTTCCTCCGAAGCGGTGGTCTAGGAAAACCAAAGGCCCAAGATTTGCCTCTTTTATCCCTTGCACATTCTTTCGGTTCCTCCGCCTGGAAACTGTGTCGCGTCTCCCAGCCGCTCGCTAGCAAGGGACATTTTTTCCATTTCGGTCTCTGCCAGTGAACTAACAGTGGAAGCGTTGCTCAAAGTGTCACTGAAAACAACAGCCCAGAATAACCTTTGCCTACAGCGATCTCTGTGTCCCAGTCTTCTTTCAGTATTAGTGGAGAGGTGGGAATTGTGATCTCTGTTTTCACTGCCTTTTTAACAGCAACAATCCAGTTCTACCAGCATTTCAAATGCAAAATGATCCTTTAGGCATTGCAGAATAATTTTTTTCTTATTTAATCAGACAGGTGATATTTTTTTCAAGCAACACACAAGCATGTTTTTTTATATGTATACATGCAAAAAAATGCAAGTTTGTTCTTCTTTGCCCTTCACGATATAAACTTTATTCTAGTCCTCACTGGCACAAGCAGATGTGCTTGTTTCTGAGTCGACTTTAACAAATACACGCCCGGCAATCTCTGAGGCAATCTAGAGGCAGTGTTGGCAATGAACATTAAAAAGAATGAGTGCATTACAAGCACGTGAGAAATTTACGGTTGGGGTTTTTTTTGTTGTTGTTGTTGTTTTGTTGTGGGATTTTTTTTTGTTTGTTTGTTTTGTTAGTTTTTTATTTTTTTAGTGATATCCTCCTTTATTAACACCACATTGGCAGGCAGGCCTCTAACGGTGCTGCCGGGTGTCCCGGTGTGTGTCCCGTCTCCCTCAGCCCCCGCAGCGGCACACATCTTTCTGCAGTGTGAAATCGCCCCCTCCCCTTCCCGGCAGAGGCTCGGGGCTGCGGAGCGGCCGATGCCGCAGATGGGGGCTGCTCGCCCTTGATTTATAGGGTAAACTGACCTTGCTGACACGGAAAGGAAGCCCCTATTCATGGGAAAGTGTGAGATCAGCAGAAAAGGGCGCTCGCCGAGGGAGCTCAATTTCTTAAGACAACTTGAGATTTGTGCCTTTGCCCGGCACGGCGAGGGGCCGGGCGGGGTGGCGGGGCAGGAAAGCCCCCTCCCACGGCGGCTCCGGGCGCGGGGCTCGGGCAGGGCTCCCCCTGCTCCTCCCCGGGCTTCCCGGTGCGGGAATTTGGCCGTTCGTGAATTTGTCCGCCAGCAAATCATCCCGGTATGCCCATGGCGCGGCTGATAAGCATGTAAATAATAGGACTGTTACTTCTTTTCCTCCCCGCTTTCTTATCTTCTTCCTTTTATTTCCCTATTAAAAAGATATATATATTTACTTTTATGTTTCATTTTCTTTTTCTTCCAAAAAGTGTTTGGAGCCCAGTTTATCTGCAGGCGTGTCAAGTCTGTTTGTCACACGGGGTATCGTTTCTCCTCTGACTCACAAACACACACACGGCTGCTGCCGTAAATGCCCCTTAGGAGCTCCTGGGGGATAAATGCCGGGCGCAGCTCCGTCCCTCCAGTGCGGGAACTGGGGCCGGGCGAGCCAGCCAGCTCTGGGCTGGGCTGCTGATCTCTGTCACCGGTTTCACGGAGGGGGCTGACTGCCTTCTGCCCACCGTCTCAAGGAGCTCCCGGGAGCTTCAGCGAGATGTGGCGGGCGAGGGTCCGGCTCCCCCTTAGCGCTGCTCCACAGAGTGCCTTGCATGGGGAGAGGGAGCCGTCTCCATCCCGATGCAAAGCCATATCCACCTCCGAATCCCGGTCTCTGCCTCTAACTCCTTCTCTCCCGCTCCTTTGTTTTCCAGCAGTGAATGACACTTCGCCTTACCCCAGCCCCAAGGTGGAGGAATGGAGCAGCTTGGGCCGAAACAGCTTCCACCCGCCGGGCCAGCACGCCGTGAACGGGCTGGAGAAGAGCTCCCTGGAGCAGGAGGCCAAGTACAGCCAGGTAAAGAGAGAGGCGGGGGGCGGGCAGTGATGCACAGGACTCCTGAGCTCGGCCTCGGGCTACCGTCCTCGGTTTGGAGCCGGTGCCGGACTTTCTTCGGTTTTGGTTTGCAAGGACGGGCGGGAAAACGCCTGGCTCTCCTCGCTCCTCTCTCCGCTTCCTCCCCCGGCCTGGCGGCCCATCCCGCCTGGCTGCGGGGGGCTGCGGGGGCTGCGGGGGCTGCGGGGCCGCAGCGATCGCGGCCGGGCCCGGGGCTGCCCCCGGCCCGCTCGGGACCCGCCGCCGCCGCCTCCGCCCCGCCGTACTCTGTCCGCAGCGCGCTCCGTAGTCAGGGGAATAATTTGAAAATGAGATGTAATTGCTTCCTACATTAAGCATTTTTAAACGCTTAAGTAGACGGCGAATTTCCTACTTTTTAATTACAACACAATATAACTGTTACTTAATAAATCTCTGTCTAAATCTTTGTGCTTGCTAATCATGTCCCGTGCCAGGAGAAAAGCTATAAAAGGCTCAACTGTTACTCGTTGGGAAAGCACAGGTTTTGAAAACATTTTTTCCGTGTGATGGAAACATTTCAAAATGCATCAGAGGTCTCTCAGACACACGGACTTCCCGGCCACGCATTTGTTGTACTTAGAACCAAGTCGAAGAAAACCCACAATCGCTGTTTAGCATTTTCCCTGCTCAAAGACAGAGGTTTTGGATGTATGTTTTGAGTTCTGTGTCTGGTTTTAGATCCATGTAGAGGAGACTTTTGTAGCTCGTGTTTGGTGGTGAGAGCAGCTGAATCAGACTCTCACATTCAAGATGCGGAGCGCAAACTGTGGGAACGCTCGCAAAGAGCGGGCAGAGTGGGAAATACTGTAGATCCCGATAGTGAACAGCTACTTCATTTCATATATTGCCTTTTAAACAATACACTACCCTCAATGCTGTCCTATTTGTTCTGTTTTTCTATTATGCCATTACTATTATGTTCATTTCGTAACAAAAATAATATGCGCTGTAGTGTAGCCGTATGGTTAAGGATAGAATTAGACTTAGATTTAGTGTTACTACTCCTTCTACAATTTTCTTTAAAGACTAAAATAAGCATTAACAGTCTTGCTAAAAAAATAGTAGATATAGCTTGTCACTACTCTGTAAGAGCATCTGTACTGTGGCTTCATTGTTTTAGGTTCCAGGCTGGGCCTTCTGCATGCAGTCCTGCTGAAATATTCACAGGATCTTGTTCATAGGCTGTAAACCATGGCCTCTGATGGATCTCGTTTACTTCTACAGATGTGTTGAGAAACAGCATTTTATAAACTGAGTTATTTTCAATGCTGGTTTGGAAACTATTTTTTCCCTTTTCTTTTTTTTCTTTTTTCAATATTTATGATTTCATTTTCATAATATATAACCGTTCTATTGTCGATATCAGTTTTACTTTAAAGTTCTGTTCAACCTGAAAGATCACCTGATAAATGCTATTTAAGCATATGTGCTATTTAAAATTTGAGAAAATTGCTATTAATAAAATGGAATTCATTTATCCAAATAAATTGTCCAGAGAGTTTCAAAGGGCAGAAAAGCCATATTCAGAACCCTGGTCTCTAAAGGAAGATATAGAGGAGGTTCTTCCCAGACTGCCCCCTGTAATAATATAGGTAAATAGAATTTGACTTTGGAAAGTTCTAACACGTAGACCAGTCTATTGATATAGTATTCAGAATTGTTATCCAGAGAATTAATTTGAATGTTCATCAATTGCTTTGTCTGTCACAAGTTCACTACCTTGCTAATTAAGAATATGTTAAAGAAAAATAATGCTAAATAAGGATGGGAAAATGTGATTATTTGCAGTTTTTTGCCACATTCCTTTTCCCAAAATATTTATTCCAGGCAGTGTGAAGTGAAGCTTATGAACCAAATTCCTGCTGCAAATAGTGCTGACTTACTGTCTTTTCGCTGAAGTGTACTGAGTCTGGAGTGACAGCCTGTGACAGTAAAGACTTACAAAATTCTCTGACATCATGGGATCCATGGTGTCTTGCAATGTGTATGGTTTTGGGTGTAAAGAGATGAGCAGGAGATATGAGAGAATGTTGGTTCATTTGTGAATCTAGCAGGGGGGTATCTGGAGTGGTGGGAAAATGGGAAAGTCTCAGAGATACTTAATATGCCAGAAGGACTGTGGTGAAATAGGCTTTGACATTGTACTTTGGGGTAATTGCTATTTCCTTATCTCTTTTGGGCAAAGCTTGTTACAAAGACTCTTAAGGGTCTTAAGGAGGCAGACATCAGATTTCCCCCAGAGAAGTGATCGTTCTGTGATGTTCCAGTTTTATGTCTGTATTATCAAAATCAGAGGTGCCTACAAAAGGAGGGAATCAAGTGTGGATGTTTAGCTTAGGCTTCCCAGTTTCACCACAGGAGCAGAGGAAATGTGCTCTGAAGCACATTAATATTGAATTCTGTGTGAGTGATGGCTAATTCTGCATTTTCCAACAAATTTCATCTATGTATTTAAGCATCACCAGCATCCAAACTTCACCTGTCCAAAGCTTGAAAATAGCTCCGTAATTACTAGGCAAGTGAAGGACTTGTCCCTCAGCTTTAATCATGGAAGATAGTATTTTGCTTCTCAAGAAATCCCCCAGGAAATCCCTCTGTGTGAGAAAGACCAGAAAAATTGAGACCAAAGAACAACGTCTTGTGTACTTTTACAGTAAATTTGTTTGATCACTTCTTTTAAATGATATACATTTGTTTTAAGACATGGGATACTGTAGCCTTTCTGTAGGCAAAACTCTTATTGACAACCCAGACTTTCAGGCAGCAGCCAAGGTTGACCTCGCCAATCGATTCCAATGGCTACATTTCAGCCCTTGTCCCACACGTCAGTGGGAGTTCACTCACGAAAAAGGCAGGAAGACTTCACATTTTTGCCTTGACAATATGCAGTCGCACTAGTTTAACATGAAACTGAACCTCTGGATGTAGAGCATTTTTCATTTTATGTATTATAGATTTCCTGGGGCTTTTGTTAGCAATGTTGTTCATATTTGGGTTTTGGGAGTTGAAAGCTCAGCCTGGCAGACTGTGATTTTGTACAAAACATTCCACAGGAAACCAAAAGATACCATGTCAAGTTTCTATTCAGGTTTAATTACATGATGTCCCAGGTTGTCATTTATACGTAAGCAGTTGCATAATTTCCCTGGTGTATCACACTTACAGGTTTGTCATATGGCTTTCAAACATGGGGACTGTGAATCAGAGAAACTGAAAAGGAAAATAGATTTTTCCAAGAGTTTGACAGTGTTGTGTCATACACCTTTCATACAGAGCTCAGTTATATTGCATTATTTACGCAGGGAGGCACATTCAGTGTGGTGTTCAGGTGCTTCTACAGATAATTATGCTATTGTTACAAAGGATGAACATTCTGAGTATTTTCTTTTGCATTGCACAGCTTATACTGACTACTGCATTAAGAGAAAATAGCTGAAATGACTGCAATATGAACACATTTGTAACCTGCATTTGAAATCAAAATGCTTAATAAACACATACTGTATTTAAAATGCAGACCTCAGACATCTGATACTTGTGACTTGCTGGACTAACATCATGGATGCTCAAAGCGAAAAAGGGTTGTGATCTGAAATTACACATGTATGAAAATGAAGAAGACCTGACTTATGTCTGTATGATTTGCTGAGAGGCAAATAGCTTGGAAATAATTTCTTTTCAGAATGACCTTCTGTGTGCATTGCAGGAAGCAGATGCACATATTGCCAAAGGGAGCTGATACTCATTAATGGGAAAAAGCTTGTAACTGGGGGCTCTAAGGGCAAGCTCCCTCCTGGAAAAGGTGTGCTGTTTGGAGGCCTCATCCCAAACCTACTGGAGCTGCAGAAAACACTCCTCCTAATTCAGAGGGGCTTGTCAACATAGTTTGAGCGAAGTCTTCCTCTGACACGCTGGCCAAACCCCTAAGCAGCAGCTACCTCAGGTCTGTCTCAGCTGAACTTCCTCAGCTGTTAGGGGATTCAGATTTTGGCATTGCTCGGATATCACTCCCTGTCCCTCGGCTTCATTCTGACCGGGGCCGTGAGCTCTGTGTGCTGCAAGCACATCAAGGGAAGGCTCCATGTCAGGGCAAATGATTGCAAATGTAGGTGCAACTCTGGACAATGACTTGCACAGAAAATGTAGATAATGCAGACATTTAGTTCCTGATCTTTCATTTACAGATGAACACTGAAAAAAAGTATATTTGGTGCCCATGCATCTGCAACTGCATCTGCGGTGCTTAGAAGCCACAACATAGGGTAACTTACTTGGGGAGAACATCAAAATGAAGGCTTAAATATTACGGCCAATTACATAGTCCTCCTACACACATGATTTACTGAAAAAAATTAATTAGCAAATTTACTTATTTGGCATCTTGGGATCCAGGCAGTTGGATTCCTGCTATGGGTCTGTGCAAAATCCATCAATGACAAAGGTCTGGACATACCGCTCTTCAGTCATACCCAGGCAGCAGGGGGGTGAAGCTGTGAAGGAGAGGTGTTTATTTGCTTTCTTGCCATAGTAGCCAGCAGCATTGTCAGCAGAGTCTGGTGCAGGGGTTCAGACCTTGGCTTGGAGACCGTCTGGCTCTGTGTCATTCTCACTAGGATCTCCAGACCAGGCCTGCTATCAAAGCATTGCCACTAAGACAGCTTGCTCAAGGTCTAGGCATCCTTGTCATTGCATGTTGTGGGTGAGGGGCATGAGCTGATCCCACTACATGCACCCGATTCCTCCCCAGGTGATCTGGATGGCACCCAATTCGAACCCCATTTGTGAGACCTGCCTCTTACTGGCCACCTGCTTCCACGGCCAAAACACAGTGCCCTGTCCACCAACCCACATGGCTTCAGGGCACTCCACCCGGATGAAACTAATAAAGAAAGTCAGAGAGGTGAGTGAATGGTATGATGACACTCAAACTGCACTCTAAGCACCTTCTGCTCAAAGGACCCCAACCCACCAGGAGGTCTGCCGTGACAAACATGATCAGGGACCGTAAAGTGGGAGTGATGGGAGATACTTGTCACAGCTAGGAAGCAGAGTGCCAGGAGCAGGGGTATTAGACGTGATTTGACCTGTTCAGTCTTGGTTCTTGCAGTAGATTGGCAAGTATATAAAGACTGTATAGTGTGTTTGAATTTGTCTGTTGTGGCAATTTATCAGCTTTTAGGAATTGCCTACACAACCAGTCGTAACAACTGTGGGCATTTAACAATTGATGGGTTATGGGTTCACCCTTCTTAGTGTACCAACTTCCCAGTAACTGCAGCAGCAGAGATTTGCTAGACATAGGAGACTGCTGTTTTGGCTGTCCTTGAAGAGAACAAGGTGAAGACTTTACCAGTTTGACCCCATATTTGCCTAGTTTCTAGACATCTAGAATGCCTTTGAAGGTCTGTGTCCATATGTCTCCTCCTCCAGTTTCATTTAAATAACAGCATATTGAAATTACAATATATTGCTAAGTATATAATATTAAGGCATTTTTCATAGAACCTTTCAGTAAGACATTATGGTGTTAACCAAAGGCATAGAAAAGAACAAATGTTTATTTCTTCCAGTGTATTTGCTTGTTTAGAGTCCATGTGTGCCCTGCCCAATTCGAGATTTTGCCAAAATACCAAGGGGGAATTATTGTGCAAATCTGTTCTAAAACTATGGGAATCTGTTGTTAATTCCAACTCAAAGGAGTTTGCTTATATGACACGATTGTTTTTCCTGTGCTTTCCTATTGTCCTCATAAGCCCAGTATATCTGTCTAAGGACAAACTTAAGTTGTGATTTTGTCATCAGAACCAGGCTTTTCTCTTAAAACAACCAGAATTTGTTTTCACCTCACTTTGAAATAGTCTGGTTGTGAAGTTTGTTAAATAGTAAAACATACCCCAAGATCCAGCATCTTCTGGAAATGCAATGGCTTAGATTTATATCATCCTTCTAAACCTGGCGTATGAAAGGGAAGCAGCCATTCAATGACAGTGCAGACCCTGAACTATAATCCACACTGGAGATGTTTAGGTGGACATGTTATGTGTGCTTGGTGGCCGTGGTGGATCTCACTTCACCGTGAAAGCTGTCTAAGCCAACTGCACTTCTGAGGAAGCACTGGAAGCTCTTGCTGCCCGCTTTTCCCTCAGAATGTGCTGAGGTTTTACAGCAACCTCTGCCTGCCTTTATCCACCATGGCTTTTCCTCCTCTCTCTCTTTTCCTCCATTGTTTTTGTAGTAGATTACTCGGTGTCAGTGAATGAGTGGTGTTTTTTTCCTTTTTTCCTTCCCCCTGTCTTCCCCCCCCCCCCCCCCCCATTTTTTTTTTTTTCTTTTCTTTTGTTTCTACTGTAGTTTGCTTTGGAAAAGACATAAAATGCCCCTGGCTCCTTCAGGAAAGGATTGGTGATGGTGTGTAAATTCAAGTTACTATTACTATTTCCAAAACTGGGATTTTATTTCCCTGAAGAGGCTGAGATTTAAAACTGGATAAGAAAATATAGAAAAAATAGAAAAGATCGAGTGATCTTGATGCATGTCCCAACTATAGTTAAAACACTCAGTTGATATTATCTGGTTTCTGTGTTATTCACTGCAGCTGGGGATGGCTTTAGGTAAAGGAAACAACTTTAAGTTAATAAAAAAGCACATTAAACACGGGGAATGGGATCTGCTCATTATGAAAGGACTGAACTTTATTTTAGAAGGAAGTAGTGTGATTTTCTTATGCAGTACATTGTTGTGAATTGAATTTAACAATGGGAGAAATAGCTGCAAAGAAAATGGCATCTTTTAAAGAGATAATGTAAAGGATTGGGTAGCTAACTATGTTTGAAATATTAGAGCACTTCAGCTCTAAGAATAAGCCTGTTTTAATTGTGACTTCAACTAGAATACCAGCATTACTTTTCTCAACTTACAGTGAAAGAGAAATAGTGTAATTCTCCATTTTTGAAAGGTCTCTTTTTCAAATCACAGTCTTCTGGAAATCAACTCAGTTCAGCTGAGCAACAGAGCAGCTATGTAAGCCCCTTGCCCATGTGTTTTTTTTAAAAGCTTCTCCATTCCAATGCATTATCACTGTTCATTCTTTCTTGAAAAAAAAGGCAAACACTATATTTTATAATATTATGACAAATTAATATCTTACATACAAAATATTGCCTCTTCTAAGCTTTTTTTGAACATCAAAATTATTTAATGTCCGTGTCCTAATTTTTCAGAGTCTCATTTTAAGCCCAATTGCAGTGAAATTAAGGAAAATTTTCAATAAAATAAGTTAATTCATCTAAGAATATGGATATTTAGTCTAATATGAAAATATTTTTGTAAGAATATTTTCCAGCACTGTAAAAAGCAAACCATGATTTGCAGGATTGACTCTCGCTGGCTTATTCAGATACATTTTAGCAATTTTGTCTAATTTTTTCTTAAAAATATTTCTAATAAAACCCATTATCATAAACTGGAGAAATTTACTCAGTGTTCACTTTTGCAACCCTTCTTTAGGTAATTGTGACTTACCTGTGCAGACACATTAATTTTAGTGGAACACTGATCTGAATTGATTTGTGGTAGCATCATTTTTCCTGTTGATCCTGTAGCACTGAATTGCAGGTTCAGAATTTAGCTCTCAGTAATTACAATTTATACAAAAATATTACTTAAGTTTATTGATTTTAAAACCTAAAAAATCTCCATTTTTATTACTTAGATAATTTAGCAATGCCATTTTCCTAAATGATATTTCCATTTCACGCCTGCTGCTGCTGTTTTACTTGGAAAATTTGTTTGCTCTTCCCTTGGGATCCCATATGTTGACTTGATTTATAAATCATATTTAACCTCTAATTATGAAGAGAGGTTTAGCATGTTTGCTTCCTTGATGTTTGCAGTTTGTGTTTGATTGCTCCTCATCTTGTTGTCATAATCATTTTAACTGATTATGTGCATGTCCCTAAAAATGAGATATCCTCTGAATTTTTGTGCTGATTTGCTTTTCTAACTGAAGGACTAGATATTTTGCTTCCTGCTATGCTTTTCCTTGCCGAGGAAAGAACAACTGCCGCAATAGCTTCTTCATGACTGTGTGTTCAGGCCCTTTGGGAAAGATCCGTCATTTCCAGAAAATGTTTGAAGGTTTTCATTGTGAAAACCGGCAGCGAGAGGGTGTGTGTGTGCGTGTGCGGGGCTGCGGCAGCATCCCTGCAGAGAAAGCTGCAGCCGGCACTCCGCTGTGCTCCCAGTCCCTGCTCCCAGCTCCTGCTCCTGGTACCTCTGCTGCTGGTTTCAGTGGCTCTCGGGAAGGGCTGGGCCGCAGGATCAAGGCAACGTGCTCAGCTTGCTGATCCAAGGACAGGAAAGATTCACCCCATCCAAGCCAGTGTTGGAATTGCGAGATACAAATGGAAACAGCAACCTTATTCACCAGAGGTGTGTCCCTTAAGCCGTGACACAGACTGAACTTGTGATGACTGCAGCAGGGAATTTTGGGCTGAGTCACTGTCCAAGCTCATTCAGGCTCCTCAATTGGGTAACTCCAACTTGAAGGCTATGCTGCTTCTCCAGAAACATTTTTTTGAATAGTAATTTAGAATGCTTCTACAAAGCCTGCATTCTCAGTCCATGCAATACATGAACTATTTAATTAAATACTGTAGCAATTATATTACAATGGCCAATTCATTTAAATAATTGTAAATAAAAATAAAAATAAAAATAAAAATAATAATTTACATTCTTTTGGACACTGACTTTACAGTTAGACTTTAAAATTGAGGTGGCATCCACCTGTGGCATCAAATCTGCTCATGTTTGTATTCACATAAAACTGAAATGAGATCCTTTACATTATTGCCATTAATGATAGCTAACATAGATACCAGTCTGTGATTTTGAGTGTTACATTTCCTGGTCATTTTCTGAAATATTTAGAATCAACATGGGAGAGAACATGGGAGATGAACTAATTTTGATACTGAGAGAACACGTATCTAGCAAGCAAAAGTCGGAGAAGGAAAAGAATGAAACAAAATAATATAAATTCACTACAATATATAATTAGAATTTATACCATGAGGACTAAAAGTGAAATTTAGCTTGCATGTTTCTCTGGTTCTTCTGTGATCAAGGCAGAAGAAACCAAAATCAGGTAATTTGTCTGACATGGGCTGACTGGGAAGTTTGTCCAGAAAGCTTGTACCCTTGTGTCTTCTTACCATGAAGGGGAGAGGAGGCTGAAGCTCTGCAACACATTATACAAGCATAACCTTCAAAACAGATATCCAGGTGTATTTGGTGGTTACCTCTGGTTGTGAAAGAATTGCTCTGACTTTTAGGAGTCCAAGAAACTAATAGAAATTACTTATTCCAAAGACCACATTATCTTGGTTCTAGACTTGCTTTTCATCCACCCACTCCCTCTGTGTTGCAAATCACAAACAGACTGAAAACAGTGACAAAAAAAAGTTGTCTCTAGTTAGTATTGTATCTAAAGTGACCAAAACTAAAGATTCCATCTGTTAAAACTACTCAACCAACTCCTTTACTTGTGAAAATGTGCAGTCTGCTTGTTTCAGCAGGACAATTTTTTGTGACCTAAAGGAAGGTTTTATGTCCACCCTGGTTTGGATTTCCCACCTCAATACTCCTTTTAATGTCACTGGCAGGTATCAGCAGCCACTTGCCAGAAGTACACCAGACCCAACTTGTTATCCTGACCCAATTACTCTTGTTTTGCTGGTAGCTTTGAAAGAACAGGTTTACCTGAATTTGTGAGTTGGTGGGAAGCCATGTGTTCTAGGTTTCAAATGCAGCTTTAAAGTTTGGAAATACTTATTCCATCAGTTGTCTGAAAACATTGATAGAAGCAGCAATTGAGAGCAGAAGTCCCTCTCTGATATTTGTAGAAGCCAGAAAGTAGGCACTTTCAAATGGGAGCCCTTATCTCTGACACAGCAAAGGTTCTTGTTCAGCTACAACTAAATGTTTGTTTGTTTGCTTAAAAAATTAGATTTCCCTTGAAAAACGATGGTTCAAATTAAGAAAAAAAATATTTATAAAACTTAAAAGCCAGGTTCAAGAACCTCTGCACTTAAAACAAATTCTTAGGGTTTTAAAAATCCATAAACACCATGAGGTTCTTGCACTCCTAATTACAAATGTTTAGATTTTGCTGTTCATTTCCTCTGATTGAAATACTGCAGGATGAATTATTTGTACAGTATATACAGGGTCATGGAACTCAATACCCTCCATTTATTTTAAGTGAATGTCATGTTTGTAAAAAGTGCCAGATTGACAGACAAGATTCAACCCTTCTGATAACCTACGCTTTGTATCTAAGGCTGTTTGGAAATAAAAATGCTTGTGTCAAGACTATTAGGTCAAGCCTTTCACAGATGAAAATCAGATGAAATTTTGGGTATTGGAGTTTTTTTTATTTGTTTGTTTTTGGGTTTTTTTGAGTTGCATACTTTAAAATCAAATCGAGTAAGATTTTCTCTATCCCCTCATCTTTTAATTCAGGTCAGAGGAAGCCTCTGACTGCTCTGTGTGTATGGCTCAAACCTCCCCTGAAGCACAATTGCACTCTGTGCTGGGCCAGTTCCTACCCATCCCAGCGCTGCCTGCTTGGCTGAGGGCATCTGTGGCACCCACAGAATCATGGTTTGGAGTGGTAAAGCTTTGTAGCAGTGCAACAAAAATAAGAATGATTCACCAATTCAGCGAGGCAGTGATGACAGACAGCATTGGTGGCCTCTGACAGGTTGCAGCTGGTGGTCCCTACACAACTGTCTCCACATCCTGCCCTCAGTAGTTGGGGCAAGATCTTTCTCACATTCAGAATAGGCTATAAAAAGAACAGTTTTCACAACTTTATTTTGAATAAGAGTGTGTGTGTGTGTGTGTGTGTGTGTGTGTGTGTGTGTAAAAGGGTTGTTCTGTGTTCTGGCTGCTATAAATATGTATAGGTATTTGTTTAAATTAAGCTTTTACAAAAACTAGTGAATCTTTAGTCAATTTCCATCTGTTTTATCAACAACAACCCAAGTGGCACCTACAGTATGATTCAATAAGAAACCTGGGCTTCTTCAGGAATTGTAGTTTGAAGACTTTGTGCCAGAAGGCCACAGAACATATGTGATTGGATCAAATATTTCTCAACAAGCCTGTTGATAAAGCATTTATCAATAATATCTGCATTAATGTGAAGCGTTCAGAAGCTCAGATTTGCCTCAGATCATGCAAAGTCATCTGCCTGTGGCTGCTGAGCCTGTCTGTAGGAGATGCAGTAGGCCAGGACATAGGCTGGAACATTGGTGGACCAGCAAAGAGATGCCTTGTTGGCACATTATCTGGCACAGATCTACCCTGTACCCGCTAACACCTACTAACACACCTTCTCAAGGGTGTTAGTGGGTACAGGGTAGATCTGTGCCAGGCAATGTACCAACAAGCACAGCTAAGGGGTCACAGAAGATGACAACTCATAATGAGGAATCCTACTTAAAATGGGCTTCCAGGCACAGCCTTGAGCCCACTGCTTGGTACCAGCCTCCTTGGGATGGGAAAGCCTGAGGAACAGGGTGGATTCACAGAGCCCAAAAAACCTCCTTTGAGGTCTAGAAGCTGAAGGTTTGTGCTGTCTCAATGGCTATTTTCTCTTTTCAGCACCCACCCCTCTCTTTTCAGCATCCACCCCTCCAGGGTTTCTGTACTCCCCTGTGCAGAATGTATTTGGGTTGTGGCTCTTGATATCCCAGTGCTACAGCCTGGCTTCAATGAATCTACTGCACCTGTGCAAAGCTTTTTGTTGGTGCTCGTTACAAAAAACAGAGGTGCTCATTCTTGTTTCATGTTTGCACATTGGAAAAGCAGCTTTTTAGGGCCACACTTTTTATTTCCAGTGAATTCAATGACATCATTTTCCGTGTGATTCAAGAATTTTACTGATTTGCAGGGCAATTATTTGCAAGTCTGCATTAATTAGTATTGTTGCAAGCACTGATATTTAAAGCTGAGGCTAAAGTAATTCTGTGTCACAGTAGGGGGGCACCTAATACGAGTTACTGGTCAGATCATGTATTTGGATTTTCAGAATAATAAGGCAAGTTCATTTTCAACAAAGCATTTAATTATTTTCAATGACAATTATGTTGCTGATGCAGCTGTAAGTTTTGTACTAATTAATATTCCTATTGGAGGCTTGTGGCCGGGATCCCATTGCTGTGTCTGCTGCTTTAGATTGCTGAACAGGTTTATACTGACAGAGCCCAGCAGAATTACTGCTCTGTTTCCCAAATGACAATGAGAGGATAGTCTAGACAGTGGAACTGTGAGAAATTTAACAAGTGAAATGTTAACACCACATGAAGTTTTAGCAGGAACAAAAATCTGTTTAATTTTTTAGCTTTGCACTATTCAGGTTGTGTCCAGTTGTACCATGTTACATGCTACAGGATTTGATAAATCAATACTCTTCTTTCATATCCAGATAGGAAACATTTTTCAGAAAAAATGCCACCCCAAATCCTAAAACAAACACTACACAAATTGAAACTGAAGCAAGATAAATGATCTTGGTTTGTACCTGTTGTGCTGAAGAAATATTTATGGGTGTGAAATAAACCACCAAACAGTTTTTAGTTGAATAAGGAGTCATTAATTGTGAAATCATAGCATAGTTGACTGAAGGACTCTCCCTTCTCTATTTAAATAGAAACCCTTCTCTCCAGCCTACAGAAGGACCTAGGAAAATAGCTTGCAGGAAAGGACCCAGCCCTGCAATTGTTTTGTGTACAGAAGCCCTATTGAAACCAGGAGGAGCTATGAGCAAAGAACATTTGCAAGTTTTTTATCCCAAGTATCTAGAAAACAGATTTTTAAAAGTCACCATCAATAATACCACTACCATAGTTCTGACTCATGCTCTGAACAAACAGTTACCAAAGAGTTTAAGATGTTCCACCTCCCCCAGCCACTGCTGCCTCTTCACTCTGGGGAGTGTTGCTTTCAGATCTGTGCCCACACCTGCCCATGGCAGCTCAGGCTGAGCCCACCCTCCTTCGGGGCCAGGAGAGGAGAGGCACAGGGATGGGTCTGTCCATCCTGCCACTGGGACGGCTGTGGTCACTGCACACCCAGCTAAACTGCCCCAGCACTCCCCAGCTGGGCTTGCAACAGTGACCAATACTCGGTGTGAAATTCGGGAAAGGCAGATAAATGCTGCAGTTCATCCACTCCAACCTGTGGAAATCATTGCCAAGTGCATCAAGGTGAGAGAGAAGGGGGAGACTCATTACAAACCCCTCCAGTAGCTCTCAAGTTAATGATTAGATGCAAACACAGGCTTTGAGGTCCACGAACAACAGCTTGCAGAAAGGTAGGCAGGTGTACAGGGGCCTTAGCAGATCCTGCCTTCCTCTTGGTGTGTGTTTCCTCATCATCTGCTGATGGTCCCTGTCTGGGACACGTTGCTGGGAGAGGTGTGAAGCACTGATCACAGTGGGTAACTGGTCTTAAAAGAAAAGCAGAAGGGGCCACTGAGCCCATGAAATTCAGGGGAATGGTTATGGGTTTCTCTCTTGGTGTCCTTGTCGGTCTTAATTTTGGTACAAAGCCCCAGCAGCATCTGAGAGCAGCTTATTTTACACCAGATCCAATGTGTCCTACTCTCTTAGAAACCCTTTTCCTTTCCCTCTCCTTTCAGGCACCCAATGGCCTCCCAGCCGTCAGCAGTTTTGTGTCTGCACCGGCCATGCCTCCGTACGCCACGCCGGCCCAGGTGTCACCTTACATGACATACAGCGCCACTCCATCCAGCTACATGGCGAGCCACGGCTGGCAGCACGCCGGGGGCACCCCACTGTCCCCCCACAGCTGCGACATCCCCGCCTCGCTGGCCTTCAAGGGCATGCAGACTGCCAGGGAGGGCGGCCACTCCGTCACGGCCTCCGCTCTCTGATGCAGGAGCTGCTCCAGGAGCACCACGGGCTCGCCGGCTCCTCGGGCCCAGCTCACGGACTGCTCCCCTCATGCTGGCCACACCTGGCCTTTCTCCTCGAGACTTGTCTCCCCTAGGGCTTCTGGGATTAAAGAGCTGCAGACAACATACGAAACTGAGAGAAGTGTGGTGTTGCGCTCTTACAGACTTTGCGTCCCTCAAAGGGCTCGTGGAGCCTTGTTCCACTCTCTCCTGGTCAAACCACACATATTTATTCTTAATCATCACAAACTTTCTAAATGTGCAATTGTTACTAAGACTTGTGCAAAAATCAATAAAGAAAAATCACCACAGAAAATTCTGCTATGCCTTGAATCAGCAAAGGTGGCTGAATGGGAGGTGTTTGCCAAATGCCTAGAGAACAACCCTTTAATTGATGAGATTATACAATCCACTGTTATTATGAGGTCCTTTATTGTTGTTTTATTGGGTTTTGGTAATCAAATATAGAATGAAGGCAATAGGTGGCTTTCAGATTCTTCTGGCATGTTGCCATCGTCAGGCAGTAGCAAGATCTTTGTGATTTTATTTTATCCATTTGTAAATAGAGGCTTTTGACAGCATTTGTTTTCACCTTCCAGTACATTTCTTAGTTTTTTCTTTTTTCTTTTTCTTTTTTTTTTTTTTTAAGTTAAGGAGATTTCTAGTTATTTTCTATGTCTTTGCATGGTGGGGTGTTAGGTGATGAGGTTTAGGTAGGGGTTTTTGGTCATGTTTTTGTGCCTACAGTGGAGGCTTCATCATCTTATGAGATAGTTATCTCTTTGGCAGAAGAGTCAAAGGCAGAAATCCAGCTAAGCAACTCTCCAGTTATACCCAGCCTCCCAGATTCATGAAACACCACATTTATATGAAGTACACAATCAGAAATATGGGTGGAAAATACCTGAATAAAACAGAAAACTGTAGAGGAAAATGCTGTTAGTGTGCAACATGTGCAGAGATGCTTAAAAAGCCCTATCAGTCAAAAACTACACTGAGAAACAGAATTGTACCATCATTCTCAGCTCACTTGTGCCCAGATTATGTTGTAATTTTTAAAGAGGACCTTGTCTTTAATTTCTGCTTTAATGAATGTAAAGTATGGCTCTTGGTAAAGTTTACATTGTTGTTCTGAAGCATTTTTTTCCCCTTATAGGTATACTGGTGGTGGTGCTACAAACAGAGATATTATTTAATATTAGCAAATTTCCTTTCTACATTTCTGTATGCAGTGGCAAGTACTCCATGCCAGTTATTTTGCTTTCAACTTTAATCCCAAGAGAGCTAAAATTCTGATTTTTGAAAATTTACCTGTTTTCCTTGGGCAATAATAAAGTTCTGACTATTGTTATGCTTTTCCCATGCTGTAGGTATGTTCAGAATATGAATGTGGAAAAAAAAAAAAAGCCTGGTGTGACATTTCATATCCATCATAGACTATTAATATATTGTGTATTTTTAAAAGTGTTCAGCAATAACTTAAATTACTGTAGACATAGTTAAAGCAAAGAAGAAAATACTATTCTTCATATATTGTTCTATCTGCATCCCATATTAAACACTAATTCAGTGAGAAAGTAAAATACATCTCCCTCTTAAAATATAGTTATCTTTTTGTGGATTTCCAGCTCTCATCACCAAGACAACTGTGGGTAAATTTTCATAACAATCTAAGTAATCAGTATTTGTGTCATGTACAGTATGTCCCCTGAAATATGGATGGACTTCTCTGGCTACTGCCACCTTTGCCTCTTGCACTAAAAAATTGCTAACAGAACTGCATTTCTGTAAAGAACACAGATATTACATTTTTGCCCCAAGGAAAAAAAGATCTGATCTTGGATGTAATTAATTTTCTTCAGCCTCAAAGGTATCCAACAGCTGTGTAGCTTTAATGAGATGCTGAAACCCTCGTTTTTCAGTAGAACACTTTTTCAAGAATGTTTCTTTGAAACCACTAAAGTTGAAGTGCACACAAGTGCATTTCCACTCTGCCACACTGTTAGTGACATGATGGATGTTGTTCTGCCTTTATGCTGTTATAGCTGAAATAAGATGAGCCTTAACAACATGAAAAAGAAATGAGAATTTAATTTAATACTAGACAAGTTCTTCACTAAAGACAAAATGGGGAAAAAAGAAAAAGATCATAAGTAGATAAGTGATTAAGTTGGCAAGAGGATTTTATCTTTCAACTTAATTGTTCTACTGGATTACAGAATTATTGAGAGAGTGTACCTATTGTTTTCCATAGAACTCAATCAAGGGGCACCAAAGGGAAAAGAAAACAAAAAACTAAGGAAGAGAAACTTTTCAAAGCACAGGTTTTTTGAGCTTCAAGACTTTGCAAGCCTGTAACAAAGCGTGCCTGTGTTAAAATTTTTCCAAATTTTCTTGAGTAAAATGAGATCATTTCTGGAATAAAAGTTGTCTTTCCTGACATTCCAATGAGGAATTAGTGTGTTTTGGGAGACAGACAGATCAGTTATTTTCATTATCCTCAGCTAAACCAGGATAATTTACAGAACAAGGACAGGACATGATGTTAATTACTCCTCCCATGGGATACACCGTCATAAACCATTTTTGTTTTGTGTTTGTTTAGGTACAGCTCCCCATGCATCTGCCTGCTGTACATGATTCCTTACCCCTGGCTGGGAGGTCAGCGGGGCTGCGTGCAGAAAGTGTTGCTCAGAGTGAGCAACAGTGCCTGGCCTTGGCTCTTGGTGAACTGCCTGTCATGGAGCTTTTTGGTGTGAAGTTTCCCGTTTTTTTTTTTTAATGTAAACCTACTATGTAGAATACTCCTTTGCCCAAGGACTATTTCACTGCTTGTACTAACGGGTAAACTGAAAACTGCAATATGTTCACTTATCACACAACTCTAAGCCATCTTACATGAAATTAAAAAGAAAAAGGGAATTGTTTCCTAAAAAATAATAAATAAGGGTTAACTGCTGCTGTCAAGTACCTGGGTGTAAATCTGGAGTGAACCCACTGAGGTGAATGGGTACCTTTGGGAAATATTCTGTATACGTGGGTGCAGAATTAATTTTTTTAATCTGAAAAATCTACACTTCATTTCCAGAGTGTTGAATGCTTCCAAAGGAATAAGTGAAGCCTAATAGTACTCCCTTCAACTCAACTGTGTTTGCATGGTCCCTGTTCAGAAGATCTTTAGTGTAAAACTGAATTCCAGCCCACATTACACAAGGAGTAATGGGGCATTGGGCTGGCACATTCATAGGTTTGTTTTCTCATACCATGCTGTTTTCTGTTTTTGAATGTTTCTCCTTTTATCCAAGATCAGGCTGAGCTATTAACTGAAAAAAATCATGTTGGAAAGGATGTAAAACCAAAGGCTATATATGTATATACAGTATGTTTAAAGCATTTTATTTTTATATTTCGAATGCTCTAAATTAATAAAAGACAAATTATAAAGCATTTTGCTTTAGTTTTTGAAATTATCTTAGCATTGTCTTCTCTTTGGCCAAGTACTGATAATAAAACGCTGCAACAAGGAACACTTGCCTTAAAACCATAAACTTTAACAGAGCTAGTTTTATTGATTTTTAGCTATGAAAAACCACCATTGCCAAATTCAGATAAAAGAGAGGCTTATTGAGCATGTTAATACAGGCATCCTTGAAAGTGCTGAAAACACATTTCTATTTTTAGCTTTTTGTTGCTTTTCCAACATGTTAAAAACACTCGTGAGATGAGACTTCACATGGGAACTGCCATTTTCAGGTGACAATGCAGAAAGGTGCATTAGCATTAGGACTGCCAAGGAAAAGGTTTGTCCCTCCTTCAGAGGAAGAACATTATTGCTAACAGAGTGAATGCAATGTGGGGGAGATACTGAAACTTTGCAAGATATATGCTTGTTTGATATTGAACCAAGTTTGATAATGAAGATATTTTTATATTTTAAGAGAACGATGTGTGATTTTTAATTATTTAAGGAGTTTTTAAAGAGAAAATGCAGAATGGCACAACTGCATGAACAGAAACTATGTCTCGAGTCAGCATAATAGAATTTACTGTATTTCACAGAGTTGGAATGGCTAGTAAGAATGCAAGTACATCCCTGGAATATTTATATTTACAGTGACTGGGAAAAGGAAAAATTTTAGCTTCAGAGCAACATGTTTTTATCTACAGAAAGGTGCATTTTTTCGACGTGTATGGCTAGCTACGTACAACTGCAGATAGGCTACCTTGTTCCACCATTCCATGGGAGAAATGAAAGGCTAAAGGGGCAGTCAGGGTGCACTGAGCATTTTTATCACAGGACAGATCTTGTGGGATAGTATATCAAAGTGGATAAAAAATTTGCAGTAAAGTTTCATATGCCTAAAATGACTTCTTTCTGTTAATTTATTTATTCATTTCTTCTATGAATCCCATGTTGGTTTGATTTTTTATGCAACTTGATGCATTCTAATTACTTTCAGTATCTTTGATCTGAATGAGATTTATATAATATATATGGCTAAGAACAAGTAGGATATTCAGCAGTAAGCATGTTTTTAAGGTTGTGGCTACTTGTTTTCTTCTTTTCTATCCAAACTCCGAAGAACTTGAAAAGCTCTTATATGAATGCTGAAATCATACTGGGCTGAATTGAAACTGGATCCAAGACTGACTGAAGAGTTGCAGAGTATGGATCATTTTCTTAATGTGGAGTAAATGGAGCTGTCAGTTTACATTAGCTTAGTATCTGCCCCCCCAGGATTATTCCTTTTTTTTCCTTTAAAATACCCTGATAATTTTTATTTTGCCATTTCAGCTGAAACTTTTTAAAAAGTATGCAACTGCATAGGATGATTCTGTGTCAAGAAATTTCAGTTTGTCCTTTGAAAACTCAGTCTTAAGTCTGCTTTATATTTTCTCTTGGTCCAGTAAAACAATTACAAATGTCAAGTGCTATTTAATTATGCACTTACAGAAAAACATGTACTTAAATGTTTTCTTGGATCAGGACCTAGAGACCATATTTGTTTGGAATTGTATTAACATCAGTACAATCTGAGGGTATTCAACACCATAAAGGATAAGAATCACTTTTGCTTTATTATAGAGTATTTTAGAATGCATGCAATTTTAAAGAGTATTTTTTTCAGAAATGCTCCTTGTGATTAACTGCGTCCTGAAGCCATGCATAAACATATTCGTAAACCAAAAGCATCACTGCACCACCTGGAAGAAAAGATATTATTTTACTACATAGAAAATCCAGAGATTTGCAAGATATTATAGAGCAGTTCTAGTGTAAAATAAACAAGAATATGGCAAAGCCTTATTTACAAAATGGATTAGTCTACTATTTCCTGAGTTCACTAAAAATTCACCAAATCATAAACCATACTAGTTTTACTCAATATTAGATCATAAAGTTGATGTAAATAGCTCGTATATTAAATCAAATTCACTCTCAGTGTGATTTTTTCTAATACTTTTTCAAGATTAATGTTTTTCTTTGTTCTTCTAAAAGTGACACTTTTAGTCTGAATATATGTATCTTTGTGTGCCTGTTTAAAAAGATTTGGCCATGAAAAAGCAGCTTGACTGGTGGAATGGCAAAATTTCATCTTCAGGATGATAAAAACACTTCCAGGTATGAGTCAAGAGAGGTTTTTACCTGTTTTTTCACCATGTCTAAAGCAGAAAATCATGGTGTGGAAGTGAGTATAATCTTTCCTGGCTACAAATCCACAGGCAAAGTTTTGATCTAATGAAATGGCATTATTTGCTAGAATTGGTAACAGTATAAAATCCCAGCTTGAAAGCCATAAAATATCTTTACTGTTAGTGAAGCCAGACTGTAACTGGGCTGTATTACTGTGTAAGATAAAAAAGAGAACATTTCAGAAGGTATGTATATAACTACACAGATACAGAAGCTTCTAGTTGTAGAACTGGATAAAGGGAACCAGGCTGCATGATTAAAAATATATTATTTGTGGGTTCCAGCACTGGGGCATAAACATCTTCTTGCCTTTGCCTGTTGGTTCAGTTGGTGGCTTGGAGTGGCACCTCTGACAAATGAGGCTTCTGCTGAACTGGGCTGTCCTTTCTAGGGGTAGGCTAAGACAACCAGGCACACAGAATTACTACAGGAATTTCTCCATATTATTTGTCCTAAGGAACCATCACCAGACTTGAAACTCTCTATGAAAAAGGAACTCACAGGAAGCTAGACAGAGCAGATGTTTGCAAAAGGCTTTGACCAACAAACAAATCATAGACAAAATGTCTAAGATGTGATTTGAACTCAAATCAAGGCTGATTCCAAATCTCATACTGTGTGATCTATTTGTGTATCTCTTTTCCTGTAAACACTCACATGCTGGAAGAAGGAATTACCTTCCCAGTCATAATAAAGACTGTATTATTGTTTCATCAGAAAGCTAAACTTATATGTTAGTTAGCCAATATAACTACAGAAGTAATTAGAATGAAGTTCACATGTAACTGACTTGCTGGATGTGGGCCAGAATGCATAGTTCATTTGTAAGATGGAAAACTTTATTCCAAAATCTGCTGTGCTAAGAGGTACTGGGAAAGCTAAACACTGCCTTCTCTTTGTCTTGTATGTAATCTAGTATCTTTGGAGTGTGAGGGAAAAGGCTTTTAGTTCCAGAGCTCCTTGTTCCTCCTCCCCACCTTCCTCGCCCTGCACAATAACCAGGCATGGTCTAGTACTCAGCCAGATGGATTGGATATGCAAACATTTACAGACAAACCTAATGCCTCCTTTATACTGCAGAACAGGCTCTGTACCTACTTGCTTTACCTATGTGTGTTCTTGCATATTAAACAACCAGCTTGAACAACTGGAAATACAATTTCATGGGAATGGGATACTGCTCAAATTGGGGCTTCTGCTCTTTTTGATGCAGACTGCCTTCGTGGGCTGACAAAGTCCGAGGGCCCAGTGCTTTGCTTTCATGATTAATCAAAACCAGTCGGAAAAAAAACAACTCTAAAAGCCAAGGAAGATACAGCTTTCAACCACTGTGCTCCCACATTTGGAGTAACAATTACTAAGAAGGGGTCAAGCAACAACCCCAGTTTTAAGATAT